AGGGTTTGGTGGGCAGTGTCCTTTGGTTTTGGAGTTGTAGTTCACCTACATCCACAGATCACTGTGGACTCAGGCAATGTTGGATCTGGACCAAACTCTACAAGAATACTCAATATGCCCAAATGTGAACACTGGTGGAGTTTGGGGAAAATAGAATCTTGACATTTGGGAGTTGAAGTTGCTGGGATGTATAGTTCACCTACGATCAAAGAGCATTCTGAACCCCACCAACGATGGAATTGAACCAAACTTGGCACACAGGACTCCCAAGACTAACAGAAAACACTAGAAGGGTTTGGCGGGCAGTGTCTTTGGTTTTGGACTTGTAGTTCACCTACATCCAGAAAGCACTGTAGGCTCAAACAATGATAAATCTGGACCAAACTTGGCATGAATACTGAATGTTCCCAAATGGGAACACTGGTAGAGTTTGGTAAAAATAGACCTTGACATTTGGGGGTTGTAATTGCTGGGATTTATAGTTCACCTATAATCAAAGAGCATTCTGAACCCCACCAATGACAGAATTGGGCCAAACCTCCCACACAGAACCCCATGTGGGCCACAGCATAGCGTGGCAGGGGATGGCTAGTAAATAAATAAATGTCCTCCTAAAATATTCCTCGAACGAGGGAGGAAGACTCCAGTATCCGAAGATTCAGCCACGGTTGCTGAGACCGAGGCAAAATATCATCAGCTGGGACAACTCTCATCTTAAAACTAAGACCTGCTGCTCATCAAGGTATTATTAAATGCAACCGGCGTATTACCTTGAATATTTCATAAAGCTTCTCAAGGTTGCTGGGGCTGATTTTCACATCCTGTGACACAACACGCAGCTGCAACGAAAGAAAGACAGAAAAAAAGAAAGAAGGCAATCAGGCTACAGTCACGTGGCCTTTGCAGTCTGCAGAGGAAGGACAACATAACCTTCATTTTCCTTATTCAAACTTTTCTCCCCCCTGGATGTTTGTTTATTTATTTATTTATTTACGACATTGATATGCTGCCCTTCTCGCAGAGCGGCTTATAGAATCCTAGAATCAAAGAGTTGGGAGAGACCTCCTGGGCCATCATCCAGTCCAACCCCATTCTGCCAAGAAGCAGGAATATTGCATTCAAATCACCCCTGACAAATGGCCAGCCAGCCTCTGTTTAAAAGCTTCCAAAGAAGGAGCCTCCATCACACTCCGGGGCAGAGAGTTCCACTGCTGAACGGCTCTCATAGTCAGGAAGTTCTTCCTCATGTTCAGATGGAATCTCCTCTCTTGTAGTTTGAAGCCATTGAGAGCCGTTCAGCAGTGGAACTCCACACAAAAGAGACATGCACAAGAAGTGGAAAAAGAGAGAAATCACCAAAGAAGAATTCAAACAAATAGCCAACACCTGTCCTAGTCTCCAAGGAAGCAGAAAACAAACTTCCTCCCTGTGGCTTCCTCTCACATATTTATACATGGCCCTCATCATATCTCCTCTCAGCCTTCTCTTCTTCAGGCTAAACATGCCCAGCTCCTTAAGCCGCTCCTCATAGGGCTTGTTCTCCAAACCCTTGATCATTTGAGTCGCCCCCCTCTGGACACATTCCAGCTTGTCAATCTCTCTCTTGAATTGTGGTGCCCAGAATTGGACACAATATTCCAGGTAAAGTGGTCTAGCCAAGGAGGAATAGAGCATGGGGAGCATGACTTCCCTAGATCTAGACACTAGGCTCCTCTTGATGCAGGCCAAAATCCCATTGGCTTTTTTTGCCACCACATCACATTCCTGGCTCATGTTTAACTTTCTGTCCACGAGGACTCCAAGATCTTTTTCACACGTCCTGCTCTCGAGCCACGCCTCCTCGTCCCCCATTCTGTATCTTTGCATTTCGTTTTTCCTGCCAAAGTGGAGTATCTTGTATTTGTCCCTGTTGAACTTCATTGTGTTAGCTTTGGCCCATCATCTCTCTAATCTGTCAAGATAGTTTTGAATTCTGCTCCTGTCCTCTGGAGTCTTGGCTCTCCCTCCCAATTTGGTATATTATTTTATTAGCATAATACAATATCAGTATTATATATTACTATTTATTTATTTATTTATTTACCGCTTTTCTATTCCGCCCTTCTTCTCATCCCACAGGGGACTCAGGGCGGATTACAGTATACACATATATGGCAAACATTCAATGCCAGTTTGACAAACAACGTATAACAGACAATACACTGAGGCTATTTAACTTTTTTTTTCTGGCCGCTAGGGGAGCTGCTGCTTTTCATCGTCCATCAGCGACACTGATGAAGTTCTTCCGCATTCCACATTCCCCGGAATCTTTTTTCTTTATGGCCTCATAAATTTGTTAATTTAGCCTCCCACACAAGGTGGTACTCTATTTTCCTACTTGACAGATGCAACTGTCTTTCGGGTTGCAAAGGTCAACAACAGGCTACACAATGGCTGGACACTCACTCCAGCCTGGGCTGGCTTCGAACTCATGACCTTTTGGTCAGAGTGATCTTAATGCAGCTGACACTCAAGCCAGCTGCACCACAATCCCGGTGCTATATTACTATATTGTACTATACCATTATATTGTGATATTATTAATAATACTACATGTAATATAAATATATAACTATATTATCACATTATTAGTATTATGTTGCATTACATTGTAATATTATATGAATATAAAAATATTTTGTATAATATTACATTACATTATATCATTAAAATAGCACAGAAGACAAGGTGGAACTGTCCCCTGGCGAAAGGATAGTGTGAAGAAGACCGTTTTAACGCCACCGAATACCACCAAATGTGAAGGTGCACGTGGTAAAACACCCACTGCCACCTAATCTATGAGGGAAGCCGGGCAACGATTAATATCAACCTAGGAGCTATTTTATAAAGGGACTGTGAATTACAGAAGGCTTTGTTCATTTGATAGCGTAGCGTTTACTGTTTCTGGCTGACTTTACTATTGCAGGCTGTTCAACTTAGGAGAAACTATCAGGCAAGGCTTGAGGAAAACAGTAACAAGTTTATTTTAACAGGAGTATAACATGTTTAACTGTTTCTTCACAAGAGGCACAAATCTTGATGGTTACAATAGTAATGTTTCATGAGTAATCTCAGGCACAGTCTTCAAGAAGTTTCTTTAAGCAGATGTAACCCTTCTGGACAACTGCCCTAATATAACAAATAAGCTAAAAGGCTTATTTTAACAGAATTCCCTATAGCACACTGGCTACAGACACATTCCCTGAATCTCCACCCAGAGACTCAGTCTTCCCAGTAGCTCGCCGGCTTACTGACTGACCTTTTAAAACAACTGCCTCGTGAAGAGGCAGTTGGCTCCGCCCCTGTTGCTATGGCAACTCAGCTAACGCCAAGCCACCATCTCCAACAAACATAGTCTCCCATACTTACCATCCCTAAACTACTGTTTAAATTACACATAACCAAAGGAATAAAATTTACACATCGTCACAGATAGTAGATGTCCTTGCGCACAACTCACCACATTTTGCTTCGTAGTGACCTCCAGGGTCTGGATGACATACAGCCGGTTCCGGCGGCGCATGCATTCAACTTCCTCAAATCGGATTTCGCCATATTTCTAAGAGAAGAAGGGGAAGTCATCAGGCCGTTTCCTCTTGAGGGAGCAGAGATCACCAGATTGAGCAAGAGGCTTTAAGATGCAGCTCGTTCAAGATCATGGCAGGAATTACAGTGTGGAAGGGGGGGGGGAAGCAAATAATGGCTAATCTGGGGGCGAGGAGAAGGAGAAATCTGAGAAATCTTGCTTTACTTGGGAGGAGGGATGCATTTACTGTATATACTCAAGTATAAGCCTAGTTTTTCAGCCCTGTTTTAAGACTGAAAAAGCCTCCCTCAGCTTCTACTCAAGTCAAGGTATTATTATTATTATTATCATTGACTCGAGTAGAAGCCGAGGGGGGCTTTTTCAGTCTAAAAAAAGGGCTGAAAAACTAGGCTGATACTCGAGATGCAGTGCCAACCTGAAGAAATGTGGCCACAAAGTGGAATCCATGACATGCGAGTGTGGAGAAGAGCAAACCACTGACCACCTGCTGCAATGCAACCTGAGCCCTGCCACATGCACAAGGGAGGACCTTCTTGCGGCAACACCAGAGGCACTCCAAGGGGCCAGAGACTGGTCAAAGGACATTTAGTCAACTACCAAGCTTGCAAATTTTGTGTTTTGTCTGTTTGCTTGTTTTGTTCTGTTAGAAATGTAATGCAATTGACTGGTTGCCGACACAACAAACAAACAAACAAACAAACAAATAAAATATATTATTTATCGTAATATATTATTATAATATATTTATTTATTTATTATTAAAAATAATGATACATAATAATAATAAAACTGGGTGCAGTGCCTCAAGACCTTGTTGTTGTTGTTCATTTGTTCAGTCGTCTCTGACTCTTCGTGACCCCATGGACCAGCCCACGCCAGAGCTCCCTGTCGGCCGTCACCACCCCCAGCTCCTTCAAGGTCAGTCCAGTCACTTCAAGGATGCCATCCATCCATCTTGCCCTTGGTCGGCCCCTCTTCCTTTTGCCTTCCACTTTCCCCAGCATAATTGTCTTCTCCAGGCTTTGCTGTCTCCTCATGATGTGGCCAAAGGACTTCCACTTTGTCTCTAGTCTCCTTCCCTCCAGTGAGCAGCCGGGCTTTCTTTCCTGGAGGATGGACTGGTTGGATCTTCTCGCAGTCCAAGGCACTCTCAGAACTTTCCTCCAACACCACAGCTCAAAAGCGCCTCTCTTCCTTCGCTCAGCCTTCCCTAAGGTCCAGCTCTCACATCCGTAGGTGACTACAGGGAAGACCATGGCTTGGACTAGGCAATGGATCTTTGTTGCCAGTCTGATGTCTCTATTCTTCACTATTTTATTGAGATGGGACATTGCTCTCCTCCCAAGAAGGAAGCGTCTTCTGATTTCCTGGCCTCAGTCTGCGTCTGCACTCATCTTTGCGCCTAGAAATACAAAGTCTGTCATGGCCTCCACGTTTTCTCCCTCTATTTCCCAGTTGTCAATCATTCTTGTTGCCATAATCTTGGTTTTTTTGATGTTTAGCTGCAACCCAGCTTTTTCGCTTTCTTCTTTCACCCTCAAGACCTTGGCCTGCACTTAAACACAATCGGCGCTGACAAGATTACCATCTGCCAGTTGCAGAAGGCCACCTTCCTGGGATCTGCACGCATTATTGCCGATACATCACCCAGTCCTAGACACTTGGGAAGGGTCCGACGTGTGATCCAACAGCCAGCAGAGTGTCTGCTGTGGACTCATCTTGTTGTGTTAATAATAACAATAATAATAATATGATAATAATAATTAATATTAATATGAGGACTTAAAGATCGAACTGCAAAGACTCTGGCTCAAGCCAGTCAAGGTGGTCCCAGTGGTGATTGGCACACTGGGTGCAGTGCCTCAAGACCTTGGCCTGCACTTAAACACAATCGGCGCTGACAAGATTACCATCTGCCAGCTGCAGAAGGCCACCTTACTGGGATCTGCACGCATTATTTGCCGATACATCACACAGTCCTAGACGCTTGGGAAGTGTCCGCGTGTGATCCAATACAACAGCCAGCAGAGTGATCTTGTTTGCTGTGAACTCATCTTGTTGTGTAATAATAATAATAATAATAATAATAATAATAATAATAATAATAAATATTAATATGAGGACTTAAAGATCGAACTGCAAAGACTCTGGCTCAAGCCAGTCAAGGTGGTCCCAGTGGTGATCATTGGCACACTGGGTGCAGTGCCTCAAGACCTTGGCCTGCACTTAAACACAATCAGCACTGAAAAAATTACCATCTGCCAGCTACAGAAGGCCACCTTACTGCAATCTGCACACATTATTCGCCGATACAGAAATACTTTAGAAACTAAGTGCCAGTGGCCCCTATTTTTGGAAAGACTTTAGAACCATTTTTTATCGACCGCACATGCCTGATACATACCTCATTGGACTCTCGAATCAGATCTGTGATGTCCACTTTAGAGTGCGGACTCTTGGCTTCGCTCACGCCAGAAGCCTGCTGCACCGCCGGAGGAAGAGGGCTGTCCTTGTTGGTGACGCTGTCGAAAAACCTGGATTGAAATAATGGTAAACGATTACGACAATTGATGGTGGCAGTGGAAATGCCAACG